TCAACTTGGCTTCCAAAATTGCATGCCCTGCATCTCCAACTTCCTTACAGCTGATGACCACTGGACAGCATGCAGGGACTTCAAAGTACCAGTCCGCATCGCTTTTCTAGGCTTCACCAAAGCCTTTGACAGAGCCACAAACACAATACTATTGCACAAAACAGTGGAATTATATATCGACGGCCAAGGGCCATCATGCCCGTGGAACTACTTGGACGGTAAGGGGTATCGCTTGGAAATCAATGGGGCCCATTCAACTTGGGGAACATCGTGGTATGCTGTACCACGGGAGGCAACTACGGGTCCGTCACTGTACCCACAGTTCTAGGGCGGCGTTCTGCTGCATGCTGACTCTTCAGTTTTCCTTAAATCTGACGACGTTAAGGGAGCAGTGCCGTTCAAAGCGGAATCGAGTGGACTGCTGAATGACCTCGAAACACTCAAGGAGTAGGGGGGAAAATAACGAATCAGAGTTCAACCGCGGCAAATGTCGGTCCATGTTTTGCCGCACTCTTCAGTAGCTATATGTGGCCAATATATTTCTCATGCCTCCGCAGGCAAAGGCCTAGGTGTAATGGTAACGGGGAAACTGGACAGCATTTCCAATAACGTAGACGCCTCAGAAGCATACACTGTACTATGTTTAGCGCATAGACAAAAAGGTTCCTTCACTCCAAAGCTATTTCTGAAACCGAATATAAAGCATCGACTTGATAACGGCTTACCAAATAACAAGTACCAAAATATCATTCCGAAACGGGAATGCCACAGAGTGCATAGAACGCCGCTCCCCGTGAAAAACTGGAAGAGAGAGGTGCCAGTCGGCGATGAATACCTTCTCCGTCTCTCTTCCCTGGTATTCACGCACAGTACATCTGGAGTATAAAATTTTTATAACTTCCATCCCTGGATATCTACAATGCAATTACTTTTGAAGCCAATTAAGGCTGAAGCTCAGCCTGTCCTGCAGTCAGACTACCAGATAACAGTGTCTAGTAGAATTAAACGTACTTATTTGTTTTTTATTCATGACACAGAAGAATGCTTGTTTGCGGGAGCAGTATGGCCAGAACTGTCATCATTACCATCCAAAAACTGTACTTGACGTTGCAGAAGTTAAAGCGAATATCCATCAGTAAGCTGAACCACGACGACGCTTGAAACACCCCACTATTGATACCTTATGTAAAATCGGACCACTCATATTTCTTCATTATGCCTTTATGTTTTTGTTTATACTGCAAATGAATTCGAATTCGACTGTCTATTTGTTATTTTTTATTTGTTATTTTATGATGTTTCGACACGTTAAAACAAATGTTTTCGATCTTCCACGGTTTGATATAGCTGCTGTTGACACATTCTAAGTTTTTCTTGATAGCTTATGCAGTATTAGGCGTTACTGGTGGAATAGCGGATAAATGTAGACTTCCGTAGTCGAAACACTGTCAGTCATAAATGCTGATGTTAATGTAGAGAGTTAAATTAAAGCAGGTCGAACAAAATGTGCTCGTCGAATCAAAAGGTACTAAAAACGGAATCGCGAACAGACTGACACGTACGAAAAAATATCTTTCTTGTCTGGAATGATAAATATTCGTAAAGTTGATAGTAATAACGCAAATGAGTATCTTCTTTAACTCCAAGTAGTGACTAATACTTTAATCCCTACCTGTCCATATTTTGCTTTCCTAGGTTGTATAGTCAAGACTAATCTCTAGTAACTTAACATCTTATTTGCTGCAGTCCCTATAGAATATACATGCGGTTCTTTTCTATTAGTGGTAGAGGTTAACGTAACGCAACCTATTTTCGATGTCCCCACTCAGAAAGACACATCCACTTTTGTGTTAGAAGGACTATCACGCGATAGTGAGTTGTTTGGGCGCCTCCCAAACCGTATCCCGTGGCAAGTTAAGCAAGTGTTCAAGCTTGGTGCACGAGTAAATAGTATAAACAAAGGGATGCATGCTTTTTTCACCTAGTTACAGACTGACTGTTTCACTGTGACCTGTCTAGCTAGTTAGCTAAACTTGTCACTACTTATTGTTCAGTCAACCAGTCACTATCAGTATGGGACCTAACAATATTGAATGGCGGTTCAAGTTTGCAACATTTCATTTCAGCAAATCAAGCGATAAGATTTTAGGATTTGTCCCGGTGCGAACTCGACAGACGCAAAGACCAATCACTAATTATTCGGACTTGCTATATACCCACGAATACAAGACCAAGGAAGAACACGATAGCGTAGTCGGATGGAATAGTATATTTGGATGGTTATGCCAAAATACCGATGCGTTCCAACTAACTGGCTAGAGAGTCGAATACGAGCAGTGCAACGTAACACGACAGCGTGCCAAATGGCGAGGATGCTTGACTGGGTGCCCCCAGCTTAGCGAGTCCAGTTAAACTATCAAGGTCAGCATCAATTTCGAAAGTCGTCAAACCCTAGGCTATTGATTTTGGGGAAGTGTGTGAGGCTACAAGATAAAAGATAAGTGAAAAAGGCAGAAAGTAGTCAAAAGTGGTAGAGAGTCACTAAAAGAGGATGAGGAGGAGCTAGACAGTAGTCGAACTTAAATGGCAGGTGGAAATGAGACAATATATGGAAACATCTCCACCATGGTGATTGGTTATGAACTGCATCACCTTGAAGTCCGCAAGCGATAATCTCGAGTGTCATATGATACCCAATCGGGAAGTCCACACTTCCTTAAGTAGCTCAGACGAACAACCAAACATTTCTTGGGCTGATGCCATGTTTTAGTCTGGCCACTGGCACCCTTCTTCTTCTAGTCCGGAAGGACCTAACATTTCACGGCCTGATGTAGGGTGCTTCTTCAAAGAATAAAACCTGTGCATGCTATCGCACCACTAATTAGTAAAAGGAGACAAGTTAAATCAAGCCGTTCACACATGATAATAATGCGGGAATCAGCGATGTCGTCACTTGTTTGTGGGTTCAAAGTGATGTGAACGTACTTTGAAAGTAGTATGGATGAAGAAGCCAGCTTCTTCGTACATATATATATATATATATATATATATATATATATATATGCACCTTACCTACGATTAGTGTTAGAAAAATGTTATTTCCGATGTAATGTCCATTTTGATTGGATAGTTAGGCCTTCCTTTCTGTTGAGTGCATTACGTTTCCAGTACAAAGTTTGAGGTCGGATTCATATAAATACCCGAAACCCTCTTCAGAAACCGAAACTGCCATATGACTTCTGGGTCGATGGAGTCGAATGGCGCCCTCAGGTCGCGGAATACAGCCAGTATCAGTCACCATAAAGTGTGCCATTGAGTACCTAGTCAATGCACCATTGAACGGGCGAGAGTTGAACCGTCTTTCGAATTGTTCCACCCACCGTTCCAGTCGTCTACCCTGCGAGGGAAACGGATGCATTCACCTCTACTATTGTCTCACTAACCATTGATCTAGTCCAACTAGCTTCCTCGATAAGCTTAACAGCTTGTTGTTTCTGTCCCCACTGCCCTTTTCAACTCTTTAGTATTTGCTTCCCACTACTGCTCCTAGTCTACATTTCAGTTGCTTTCACTTTTCATTGCGCTCGGAGGCTGCAACACTGCCTTTGCATCCATCTATTAATTCATAGTGATATAGCCGTTTGTAACACCTTTCTACAAGCCACTTAGTCTTTAACGTTGTTTTTACTACTTATGGAAATCAGTATCAGCACGCTTTGAATGGGCGACGTTTTCAATTAACGAATGTTTGGTCACTGTCTAAATTTTTGTTGGTAGCCTATAGAGCGGTACGGTTAGCGCAGTGGCGAATAAATGTAGACTTCCGTACCGGGCATTGTCAGTCAAAAATGCTGAAGCTTATGTACAGGCCCGCACAATACCGAGGTTATGCAAAGGGTATCAGACAATGAATGCAAGTCAGCCGATGAGATTGTTAACCTTCACCGATTTAAGTGGTTTGAACATGTGCTGCATAGGCGGAGTCGCTGCCTGCCTCGACGTGGTGTTAGCCGAAGTAGGGTCGGGATGGATGAAGGCCCAGGGTGATCATACTGAGGTGCTGCCCTAGTTCATGAAGTCTCCGACTGCGGTCTCAGTCCAATAGGTGGGTATAAATTGTCTGGTTGGGCTGCAAGATAACAGGAGTCAGTGGCTGGAGACCGTCGGTAACATGGCTGATAGTCGGCCAGCGGTACAAATGTATTCACTTTGATACCTTCTAAAGCTATGAAATCTTCACTAATCTTGACTTTGAAAATTCTTTCCCTTCTATACGCCTTTATCTACTTTGATATCATTCGTTCGCTATCAACTTGTTCTTGCATGCTGCTGAGGAACGTGGCAACTTGTGTTGATGAATTCTTTTACGTCGGGTTTTTCTGTTCACCTTTGTCAAAATAAAGTTGTCTAGACGACTTGGGCGGAAACCTCAATGTGCAATGTATGATCAAGCTTCAGGACTGATCTGCAGCTAGCCTGTTTAAGAATAGAGGATGACATAGTAGAATACATTGACCAATTCACTTAGTTTAGCTGAACATGGCTGATGTGAAAAGGAATGTGTGTGACCTAACCAACGAGAGGAAAATTTGGAGGTTAAACGATGATTTAGTTAACAAATATGTGCCACGTATGGCAATCCACCCTTTACGCTAAGGTATAGTGATGATTACATCGAAGGCACACTGAAGAAAGCTTCGAGGCGATCAAACCAGCACAGGATAGTACTGTGCTGTGAAATTTTCCATCTTTGAAATTAAAAAGTAATTTTTGAGACTTCGCTTAAAACGGTGGAAAACGTCCCACAATGTATTAACTTTTTACCTACCTCTACATATAGAGTCCCGTATTTCAAAAAGGCACACTACTGAAAGACGCTCAACAACGATCAACTTACCCATCAACCTTATTCAAGGTATGTCATATGATATTATGCTAACAAAATAGAGATAAACTTGAGCATCTAACCAAACAATTTGAGAAAAGAGAACCGAAAACCTGGGACAAAATTTTTTTAACACACTGATAATATGAGAATGACTTTATTTACGTCGTTAAGTCTGTTTTTCAAATATACATTATTTACAACATATTTCTATCATCCGATTTTTGTATTATTTCTTTTCGGTTTAAATTTTGTCGGAACCATGAAATTGTTCGTTCCAGACGATTTAATTCACTTGCCACATTGAACTGTGGACTTGATCTCATTTTCAAACTAGAAATGAGATTACTGTTTAGACGTCTTGACAATTGACCAAGTAAATTTTTTGCCAGTTGTTCAGTGTATTGTGTAAATTGATAAGCTTTTAATGCAACACTTTTGTTGACATTGCTGCTGTCATCCTTCCCGGTTTTCCCATCATTATTACTATTATTTGTGTCGAATTCAGTATGAGAGGGTTTTACACAGACAGATGTCAAATTAGAAACTAAATCACATAATGAATGACACAGAACATAGAATTCTTCACTTAAACACTGAAGCTTTTCTTCATTTTCAGGGGTGGTAGTCATCATACTGGCACATTGAGCAGAATTAAATCTCTGGTTGGATAGAGACGTGGATGATGATGTGCACCATAAATTCAACAAATCAGATGTTAGTGCAAACACGTCAAATGAACCGCAAAGTTCTGTAGAAAGCAATCCAAAAAAAACAAGAGAGTGAAAGTGATGCAATTCGAAATTCAAAATATAGCGGTATGCAATCCTCCTAAATAACAGAAATAGTCCACGTATGGCTTCGTTGTTGAAATTTTTTTTCTTCTCTTAAATTAGAGTAAATGCCGGGCTCGTAAGTGTGAACAAGTAAACAGCTTAAGACTAGCAAGTTATGCAAACAGCAAAAAACCGGCTGATGTCATGTTTCACTTTGGAAACAGTTAATAGTTCAGCATAAATTTCAGATATGCAAATCAGTGAAAGTAAAATTAAAGATGAAATTTAAAAAATCCAGAAAGCTGTCCTTATTGTTCAAACTGGATAATGGATTAGATAAGAGTTACTAACTTATGAAAATTCTCTTCAGAGGGAATTGAATTCACCAGTTATGTAGAGAATATATCCGAGTTACACATATTGTGTTGGTAACTAAGGTACACGTTTACAGAGTTATAACTGAATTTGGAAAAAAACTGAGATTTCAACTTATTTTTTATCTAAGATTGACATCAGTTGAAAAACCACTGGAAACCTGAAAGCATAGGAAAGTTGTTTTGTTTTAGTGTGGAACTTTTTAACAGTGAACATCCATGACTGTACGAAGGATCGATTGTACGACTGTCACGTTATCACTTAGCTACTGGGTTGGAGCTCAATACCATCGGCAGGAACTTGTCCCCACACCTGACTTGGTTGATACTATAGGTCACAGTCTCTCACTAGAACTTCAGGATATTGATCTGCAATAAGAAGTACCGTGAAACCAATAAAACCTTACAAACGCGTATTGGAAAAACTGAGATTGCACTAGAACTCAAATCAACAGCGTTTGATATGCTAATACAAAAACTCAATAATTTTGAATCATAGGTATGCCATTTCCCGTGCTGTTTGCACCTCTACTAAGCTGCATACACTCTAAATTCAACTAATGAAGCTTCATTCAAGCATGGGAAAACTTAAAACAGGTAATGATAAAACTACTAAACACACTTACTACTCCAGTCCATCAAGTAGAATAGTCTCGGGGGAAGACCATCAATAACTTCTTCATTAGCATTGACAAATGTTGTTACCGGATAAACCAATATAGAAAATTTCATTAATCTACCCAGTAGAAAGTATAAGCGTTCCCAGCATTTCAACTGCTTTGTTTTAACTACCTTCCTGAGGAACTATAAATATTAAAATGGGAGAGAAGAGTAAACGATAACTATCTATACAGCTTACCATGTGTCTGCAGTGAAGAGAAATTATAGTCGAACTAGTGAGTATCAGTAATTACTTGATAATTCAAGTGGTAGCCAACAGTGATCATGCTAACCAAAGCCTACCGTGGCTTAAATACACAGTAAGGTGAATGTACACACCCCACGATGTCCTGTATTTTATGCTTTACGTTTTCAAGCGACCGAAAAGCAATTATTCGCTAAACGAATAGCTACTGAACTATAAGAGTTAGGAACTGGGAGATATAAATAATGATGGTGGATGCCAGCAAGTACAAAACCTATACATATATCTCTGTATTTACTGATCGCAAATGTCTAAAATCATTCCTCATAAACACGGTATATTGCTTTATGACAACTAATGGAAATTTTTCCGCGTTCTCTGAGCCCCAGTTTGTGACCACGAAACACTCATCACTAGCAGTGATGATATCATCAACACTAGCTTCAGCGAAACGTTTTTTTGGAGCTTATAGAGCACCAAATGATTTCCATTCTCATAATAAGCTATAAGTATTCTTTATTGTAAAACTAATGTTAGAAATCAATGTTTTGCTATTACTTCAATTTCATTTTACGAAGCCATACGTGCACACATATGTAGAACTAGTCTTATGCTAAATAAAACATGTCGATCCGCCAAAGATGAATTTCGCAATTTACAGGGTTATCGTATTATGTCATAAAGTACGGATAGTTTAAAGTCAGTGTAAACTTTCACTGTGTGAAATATCCGACAAGCATATTAACATAGCATTACATACTACCAGTTCAGCTCTGTCGTTGAGTATTTCAAATAAACTGATTCCAAATTACACGAGGTGCACTTTTTGAACTCAAATGATACCGAATTATAGTCCATCCACCATCTTTCCTGACAAGCAATGCTAGCCGAATTAAAATTATGCTGGAAGAAATCTAAGGATGAAGTGAAGAAAATGTGACATCAATTCATAAAGGTTTTGACTGTGAATGGATGCCGTACAGAAAAAGATAAACTGTCCATTTGGGGTTACTGAAATTCCAGAAGCTCGCTGATGTAAGATGTGGCAACTTGAACCGTCATGCAGTAATGCCTGATCGTCCTATGCTGACGTTGATGATGACGGCGCATAACAGAAAAAGGTCAAGGAAACTGGATTACCCTGGACGACGTTTGAACCCAATATACCATACATGGGAGTTGAACTACTTCATTATAAAAATCCACAACACCATTCATTTTAAATTAAACATGAAAGTTTCTGTGCAGCCAACTGCGTGAATAATTATAGTACATTAATCTAAAGGTGCATGAAATTTAGAAAGAAATCCAATCAGTTTGATGATCAATTAAAGCTTCTATGATATGTGGATACCCTACTTATCACTTGACGACTGAGACAGACATTTCAATTTATACTGTGATTTTTATATGCTGAAAATTGACTTAAAGCAAACTAAGTAACATAATGCATAGCACATTATGAATCAATTAATGGAGTGGGCTCTTGATAGCATGACCTCTTTAGATGACTTGTTTTATACATGATCCGGTGACTTCTGATTCTTTTTGATGGAGGCTGCCATAAGCAAGTGTTCGAAACGATGGATATCATATTTAGATCCTATTGGAAACATTATAGTCAGCTAATTCATGGAATAATACCACGACTTGCTCAGCACATCATTAAATTTCCTACAATATAATCCTACTTCTGTCAGTATTGCTAGTCGAGAAAAATGGTGCTTTGACAGGTTTACAAACCCAATGACCAGCTTACATTTCTAGGTTAGCAATCTGCACCTAATTTCCATATTATTCACTCTGTGGTTCCATCACACGTGAATAATACAATTAAAAACCCATGCTAAAAAAGTGCACCTTCTCTGTGTCCCTGATGATTAAAGACTACTTGCCAGTTATTGAGTAAGACAGAGTGAGCTGATACAATAGGTATCTCATCAACGACAGCTCTTGTAACATACTTTCACCCAACTAACGATACAAATCTGTATAGTCTAGAAAAAATTAGCGTTATATCACCATACCATCTAAAATCTCCAACCACAGATCTCGATCACTTCGTGGACACCACCTAGGATAGTTAAATTTCCCCATACAACTCATGAAACTGATGAAAGCAAAATCAGACGTCAAGGAATACTGGATATTGATTTTACCATTGAATTTCAGACAGTCCTGACCAGTATCGAGTCTGGAACTAATTTCAGGAATTTGCACTAATAATTCATGATCAACAAACGCCTTAGTGACTGATCCACTCTCAATACATATCGCTAATATGTTTGTCATTTGTCTGAGATTTTAATTAAAATATGTAATTCCTGTAGACGTACAAACACAACGTAAAGGCAGTAGCAGGAAAGAAACTGCGGTATGTGCCACACTGCAGTATTACTCGGCTGTAATCTAACTCAGCAAATCCAAACTTAGGTTGCATAAGATGCTTGAACAGAAAAAGATGGATAGTACCTATTTCAACCTAGTTAGTTTATTAAAAATAAATGGACTAAATAAAAAGACGGGGTACTCTATGAGCAACAACTGTTGTGCGGGAATCGGTCAACCAACTCATCTGACCAAACCTTGGTGGGGTGGGGAAGGATTGGAATTCATCACTCACTGTCCAGGTCAGTGAGAAGAAAATCCATCATTCTATCTGAAGTTTCAGAAAAGTAAAACTTGAACATTATATTGAAATTTAATCACATATTAGATTCATTTACTTGATATAAGACGACAATATAGCATTATTCACATTTCCAGGAGAAATTATGAAGTGTTCAATTCTGTTGAAATCAGATCTGTAACTTCAGATCATGTTCCGTAAGCATCCAAACAACCCAATGCCATTCCAAAAAGTGGTACTTACAACACTGATCATTAAATAATAGTACAGTGTGGATTATCTTCCAGTAAAACTAGCATCATACTAGTAGATTCCTGGGAGCAATAACTTCACACTAGTAATTCAAAAAAGTCACTGGCGTAATTTTTCCTGAAAATCTAAGAGTTCTGGGATAGATTACCGGTGTTAATAAAAGTTAAATATTCCGATACGATACTTGTCAACTACACTTTGCTTTCTAATATTTGTCGTCAACGGATGCTCTAGTAAACATATCCAGTCTCAAAAGTTTAAGATGACCAATAAGCTTTCGCACCGAAACTAGGAAAAAGCAAGGGAAAACTATATGAATGAGAGCCAGCAACGAAAGGAAATAAGAAAACCAGATGGATTGAAAAACATGACTTGATAAACACAAGATTGGTGTCATATTGAATGAAATACATCTGATTGATTCGAATAGTAAGCTTGCAAACAGAAAATTACGGATTCGTATCTCAATTCGTCCATCACGATTTATGCAATTACATAGTGTCAATGTATTGTAAATCAAAATGCTATAATGAGAAATTAAAGTATAACAACAGAAAAACTAACCAAATGAAAAGCGATTAACAGATGACCAGTACTAATGCCTGATATACTCCATAGTTGACTTGATTTCGTGGAATTCTTTATAACTGCCTTCAACACTTCACTGCAGAGTTTATTAGAGACAGTAGCTAATTCAAGTATGAAATATATTAAACGTGGTGATACTGTATCGGTCATTGTAACCTGATTCCGATGGATTTTTGTAGAAGGGAACGATGAGTCACAGCGTTCATTTTGCCCCGATGGCAGCAAAGTTAACGAATTAGTTTTGAAGTATATGCCAGTACTAAACAAAAAAAAAACTAATTGATATGACGATATTTTTATCACTAAGTGAAATAAGCTGCCGAAACATTAAAAAGAGGAGCAACGAATGATCACTTTGTTACAGTACGAGATTTCTTAGAGGTGCGCATACACGACTCCCGTGAAGAAACAACAGTCAATTATCAACCACTGAATCAAGGAAATGAAACCCATTTTGCCGGTCAAAACTTGGACAAACAGGTAATATCATATTGGCTTACAAAATAGATGTGATTCATAGCCCGCGGTTATTAAATTACATTACTATTAAAATAGTCCTCATCGTTTCTTTCCCTTAAGAAAGAGCAAAAAGTGTTACTTCGCAAAAGACAGACAGAATCAATGTACAACCTCGCACACAAGTGCATCAGTGTAAGTTGCGACACCACATTAGTATACAAAGACAGGTAGATAGAATAAGAATGATATTAAAGTGGATAAGTTTGTGTGAGAGAATCAACAATTTGAAGATAAAGGTTTATGAGAATATTCAAGCTTTAGAAGACGTCAAAGAGTGAATACATCTGCGCAACTGGGACCGATTTTCAGACATATCAGTAACAATTCTAAACCACTGATTCCTATCATCTTGCCAACTCTAGTCAGGTAGTTTACATCTCCCAACACGGCTCAGACCAACAGTCAGAGACTTCATCGACTAGTGCCATGTCTTGATCTGGCTACCCTGAACCCTCTTCCAACCTAATATAGCTTCCCCTGACTTGGTGTGTCAAGGTGGGCGGTGACTATGCATGTGTAGTACTTGTGAAAGCCACCTTAGACGATGAAGGTTCACAACCTCATCAGTCGACTTGCCTAGTACGCTTCGCCTGACCTCAACATTGCTAACAAACACATTTTGAAATTTTAACGTCATTCAATAACCATGTTTAGGTTAGTCCACTACGTAATGAGCCACACCTATTTTGAATGCTTATAATACCACCTGATTACCGGCGCCTCACTAGGTGAAGTACGATTGAAACATGTGATTCATTCGGCTGAAAGTCAATAAACTACACTCATGAATACTGATGGGGAAGTGACATCAGTTGATACTTCTCGGCTACTTATACCATGCAAAATTACTTTCTTCTTAGCTACTTGAACAAAAAATTGCATTATGCACTCGTGAAATATAGTTTCAAATGCATGGTCTGCTACTTTGGAGACCTGAGTTTAAAAAAGTGGTACAAATTACGAGTTAGCTAAAGCTATAAAAATTCATAGAGGAATAAAAAATCACAAAATGAAACAAACTCAAAATGAATTGATGTATGCTAGGGAAAGAGATATAACACTGGTGATTTCGAATGATGCAGCATAATAAAATTAGAAAAACTAGACGTTAAGACTCCTTTGAAATGAATAAAGATGGGAAAAAAAAGGAAACTATAGGTAGCTTATCTTACCATGCACAAATTATCTCTAAGGAGTATATGGACATTGGAAATCAAGTTCAAGTAATATAGCAACAGATAGGCAACTGATCTCTACATATAATCATATCTGTTCTGGATGCATAAAATATTCAATTGCACATGCATCACTTAACGATTTCTACTTTGTTTATTTTACATTAAAACCTAATAAAAAGAAGTCTTCAACATATATGTCACACGAAATCGCCGACAAGTTCCAGATGGTAATTTGACAGAAGTTTCTTTTAAAAGTTTCAAAAGTATTCCAAGATAATCACTGTGAAAATGGGGATAGCTACTTAATAACAAAAAGCTCAAACCAATCCTCCATAAACCTCGCAGATGTTTCCAGCTGGATTTCCTGACATTCTTAAAAGACTGACAAGCTTCCTCGCCTAGTGCTCAGATAATAGTTCAATGCAGCTAACGACTGGACAACAGGAGTAAATTAGCCAATCACTTTAATGGATATTACACAATAAAAACGATATTCGTTGATTCATACTGGAAAAAGGCTCGGGGGAAAGACTAAAACGTGATATCAATACATGAAGTCCTTGACTGTTCGTTTGAGCCATGTAGGGCGATGCAGATTAGCCGGTTGGAGTCGACGGGACAAAAGGAAGCAGTGGTTGGAGACTCTAAGTGATATGACTCAGAACCGACGTCAGTGGAGCAGATACATACACACATTATCTTCATCTTAACCGCTAAACTTACTCTCACCTTATTCTTCCTTTCTCTCTTCTACTATTTTCTACTTCTACTTCCTCTGACCAATTTTTTTTTCTTCTTCATTTTCCATTTTATTGCCTTGTTACTTGATGTGCTGATATGAGGTGTGGCAACTTGGACCCTAAAGCAGTAATGCCTGGTCCTATGTTGATCTTGATGATAATATTTATCGCTCAGACCTTTCATTGCCCAAGAAGAGTTTAACAAAAGCGACCATGACGAAATAAATCCAGTGTTTCCAAGCAATCATTTTCAATAAATATGTATTATCACAGGCGTGCAGTTGAATGTAGAGTGTGTCAAAGAGAGCATTTCAGGAAATTGCACTTAAAATCACTGCATCTTTCTTTGTATCCTAAACCAACAAGATAACTTTACGACAAGGAAAAATACACTTCGGAAGATTTACTGAGAAAAGGTGGTCACCTATCAAGACATTGAATACAAAACAACGAAAATGAGAACCCTTGAGTAACATTTGCTAAAATAACCTACAGTGTCAATTTTCTATAGAAAAATTGACTGGCAGTCTGCTTAAACTTTAGGTGCCTGAAAATTGTTCACCGAACCTATTTCACCAAGTTCTTCCCTTCCAGTTTGTTTTAATCTTTTTACATGTGTCTTTTAAACCCGTCAAGTACTCTTGTAAACTTTTAAAACGGTTTCAAATTGCCGTTTTTTAATCTATCAACATAACAAAACATAAACGATACTTCGGTAAGAGATGGATTTGTAAATACACAGGAATACCGTGTATTACTATTTCCTGGATAAATATATCGAATCGAAGATTTTGGTACTGGATGGATAAACTACCACCATCAGAATTATGCTCAGGATTCCTATTCATTCACCAGTCCAAGTCAGACGCTGATGTAATACTGGGCGGTACGGTTGTAACTAACACTGTTCAGGTGCAATGATTATTTCGTTTAGGGATGTTGTACAGGGAATGAATTTGTTGTCGTTGTTCAGAAAAAAGCTATTATTATTATCTCATTGCCGATTATGCGATTTCAGTCGTGAATTCACACAGAAACTATTCCGTTACATAAAAAAATGTTTGGCTTATTTTAATTTACACTTACTTTTTGTAGAATTCGTCAATATCTATCAGTTGTTTCAGTGTCTTTAACTGTATGTCAGACACTTCAATTGATAATTCTAGGAGTTTACTTTTCAATGAATTGACTGAAGATAATGTTGAAACGAACAAGTATAAACACCTTTGTTTATACCAACTACATACATTTATTGAATTGTCTATATCACTTCTTAATGTATAGAGTAGACGAAGAGTATTCTCGACCCCATTGACTGGATGACGATATTCTTGTTCCTTTTCATCATCTTCTGTTTCTTCCATTTGTTCTTGATGCGGATGATGGTAACTAGATGAAAGTGACTGTTGAAAACAATATTCAATCAACTCAAGTAACATAATATCAACTTCATTTGAAATAAGGTATTGGCGATATTGAGCGGGAACTATTACAACAGTTTTACTGCACATTTTATCATCAACATCATCATCATTACTACTTTGCTTTCTAAGAGTATTCCCATTCACCTGATCAAGGAATAACAGTTTGAACAACTTAACAAATTGTTCTATCGATTCATTTAGGTTAATTTGGTTCAAAACTGTCAATATAGACGCATCTTTCATGAGAAAGTAGAACACACTGATAATTATTCGAATGTGTATACAACGAAGAGGAATGCTCTCACTGGTTGTTGTCACTGTCATCGCAGTCGTCGTCGTCGCAGAAGTTTTAGTAGTAGACAGCGTTATTAAATGGTCAAAATCAGAAGAATGGTTAGTAAAGTTACGTTCCAAGTGATTTAGAAAACACTGGACGATATTGTTTATTTGAATAAAACAATTTGGCTGTAAGGGAATAAAAACAAAATAAAAAAGGATGTTAAGACTAATCAGTAAACACGGTTTATACTGAAATAGTTACTTGGGTAGATACATAAACTAATGTAGAAACTTTGAAAAGTGCTGCAGTTCAAGTTGTCAATATTGAAAATTGAATCGAAATGTACTTAGCAACCAGCGCACAATTTTGCAGTAGGCAATTGGCCAAAGCTATTGAGTTAGGGCGGATGATACTACCGGACTGCTGAAACCTCGGTAGGTGGAGTGGGGTTCGAATACGTGGTTAGTTGATTAGAAATCGAGTGCCTAGACTTATAAGAAAGCTCTCCTAAAGAGCAAATAAAGAAATGAACAGAAGTGGAATGTGAAATGAAGGAATGATCAAATAAAGATTAAAATTTTCGAAGATAAAGTGTGACTATATCCACACTACAGTAGTCGATTTCGAACCACTTCATAGAAAGGTTTTTAGCCATTAATTCCTAGCATCCAGGTTTGGTATACAACGCCACACGTCTCAGACCAGCAGTAAACAACTTGTAGCACAAAATAATGATGAGAAGTTTGGAAGTAAAAAAGCAGAACAAGATACAGTCCATGTTGGACTACTCGAAGCACACAGTACAAAACTCACAGTTTAAGTTCGCTATCAATAGGTAGAAAGAACCCGGAAATGAACAACTACCTATTGATTATGGGAAAAGACAAAGAAGATGGCTGCAGCGAAGAAAAAGTTTTCTTTTGTTATAGTATGCAAAAAGATTGATAAAATCTTCATAAGAAGCCGTATATTCCTAAAGCCTTTTACAAATAATCGTCTCACTCCGAAGTTTCGGGAGAAAGCAGGTGAACCAACGTGTAAATATCAGATTGGTTGAACGGATAAAAATTAGTAGGACACTGAGATCTAGAACGGCTTGGAAATAGCCAAGGCCAGTGTAAATACATATAGATTACTGTATTTTGTATATATTTTTTGAGGCTGCAATACACCTTCTGTTATATTACATCCTTTTTCATTTATCAAGAGACTGAACGACCATCACGGGGTAGAATCTGAAGGTTATTGTACAAGGGTCTACTTATATGTAACTGAGGCTACATCAGGAAGTCACTACAAGATTATAAAAAGTGGCTACAGGGTTATTATATATTTCTTCCTTGTCTTCTTTTATGGTTTGTGCACTAGGCTGTAAGACATATCTATTGTATAACGGTTACTCATACAATTTAGCTACTCAAACCTCGACCAGTGAGGTGGGTTTCCAGCTGATGACACGCTGATTCAAAGTCGACCACTCAAGACCATGAGCCACAACTTCACTTTTACAATTCAAGTTGACTGAGATAAAACCCAGAGATCACTCGTTTAAAACCTGTATCTCCTAAGCTTTTCTTTGAATATCCAACTCGCAAAATGAACAAATGTTCAAAAAATTACGACTATTTCAGACAGAGTCACCAAAAATTATCGAATTCACTCACTCAGCTTCAAGCTCACACTGAAGATTTTTTGAAACAATCAAACTCTTGGTAACATTCAACATATATCAGTGTGGTCCCCTAAAAATAATTGTTAGCTATTATTACTTTATTATTAAATGAAAGCATAGTAGGGAAATTAAAAAACAATCATCAAAAGCAGAGCTGCTATATTTGACGATAAGTTGACAGCTAAGTCAGGTGCCGTTCAACAGGATTAGTATACCGGGAAAAAAGATTAGAGAAACTATTGCGGCACTGTAAACTGAGATCCAGGCTTGTATTCGTATATGTAATAATGGTGTAACCTAACCAGGTACATTTCATTGAATTAAGCTTTGAGCCACATTTATTGTGAGTCCCTATGATACGATCCAGTCACCTATACTGAAGTACGTGAGAGGATTTCGAACTCAGGACACAATGGTTGGAAGTGGAATTATTAAGCCAATAGAACACATCTCCACATGGCCACTTACAGGTCCGTGTTATAAACAATGAGTGATGTAAATTGCGATAAATACAGATGCCAAAACCTCGATAGAAAGATGAGTGCCTATGTCAACAAGTCAGAGCTCTGTGTACGATTGGTGGAATTCTTGCATGTTTTCAAAAAATGGAACTACGAATGTCATGAATCGCACCACTCAATTAAAACTACTGTCAACTCATGAGACAAAGTAATAATCTTTAATATCCACTATTTTTGTGAAATATTTTCATCTTGAAACTTGTAGGACTTTTTTCCACTTGTCAGCAATACACAAAAGCAAGTGCAGAGCTCAAACATTCTCCACTATCAGGTTAAGATATATCAAGACGAAACAATCTGTGAAAAATACTGAAAACCAAGCAATTAAATAAATGCGATTCAATGCTCATGTACTACGGACAATAACCCAGATTTACTGTACACAAACTAACAATATTACCCAGGTCGCAAAACTAAACTAACTAGCGTGACCTCCAAATTCATTGTTCAACCAGTTAAGACGTACGTTAAATGCTTATACATCATAAAACAAGGATTCTAGATCTTAAACCCTTTAGGCTATTATATATATATATATATATATATATATATATATATATATATATATATATGAGCTTACAGCTTCAGAATCAAAACTTGACCTGATAGAGTTGAATAAGTTGACCATTGAGTAGATGGCTTATAAAGGAAATATATTTGTACCTCACTGGGATTTAACAAATATATTTTCTTGGGAATAAATCCATTGAAAAGAGTCCTATTCATTAAATTACTTGTTTTTGACGTTACAATAGGAATAATGACACATTACATAAACTGCCTAAACAATTACAAAGAATAATTCCAGAAATTAAAACGAAGCTGTTACCGAAATTCGGTAGTCAAACTAACTTGTTTAAATAGATGTACGACTGTGTCCAGAATGAAGTTGTCAGATAGTTCATAATTTGACCCTCTGGATGCGTTGAATTCGCATAAGTCATCAATTGAACACTTCTCTTCATCATATTCAAAAGTTACACTGAATAAAGTATCACCATCTGTTTTGCATGGATCTTCACCAAAAAGTGAAATATCTGAAAATGATTTACGCCTTGACCAGTCAACTAAGATAAGTTGTTGAAAAATCGTACTATTTACAGGTTGTTCAAGTGTTGGTGCAATTTTTCTCCCGTTTGATTCATTTACTAATTTTGAAACAGTCGAAAAATCTGTAGGGACTTGGAATACATACGATAACTGATCGAGTAGCTGGAAAAAGCAAAAGATTTTAGGTCAAGTAACAGTTTCGTTCAATCGAAGAATACAGATAAACAAGTGGCCGGAATTAGTCAAACTTCTAAGTTTGATACTTTTCGGTAAGCACATGTTATCATGACAGGAACGATTTTAGACAAACAAAAAAGATCATGAGAATAATTAACATGAAAACATTGTCACTCATTCGACGCACACTACTTGTTACAGTGTACACGAGAAAATTCAAGACAGTAGTCAACAGAGAAGTGAGTGACAACCATTTTATTTCATTTCTTCCGCCTTAATGATGATAAATAAGCCATAGCTACTACAATGGTAAAACTTTTCACGGGAGCAGAAAATTATCGTGCCCTTAGAAGAAAAACATTTCTCAGAAATCTGGTAGAAACATGTCACATGTTCAGCTTCCAAAGACGGCATAATATTCTAAAGTACTCACCTAACTTTAGGAGAGCACTCAGTTATATAACCAGGGATTCAACGAGAATAGGATATTGTAGACGCTAACCATACGTAAGTAGTGTATTAACTTGAACTGATGCATGAAACACGATGATGATGTATCCGTCTGTTACCTCGACTTCTATAATACTGTTCTAAAAGTTGTAAATAATTTGATGCAGACAAATTCAGTGGGGTAGATGTACAAATGAGTAATTTAGGTTTGTTCTCACCTGATTGCGTCAACCATGTTGCTAAAAAGAAAAATTATTCTATTGCTTAGTCTTAAGTAATGAAGTATATCTACCGATCAAGTACGAAAATTTGCGAAACCGAGTACAAAGTCTAGATCAATGCGTTTTTGTTTTCTCAACTCAACCATCAAACATCAAATACAGAGCAATGCGGTTTTCAGTCTCTTAGATTAGTCATCGGTTCTAAAGTTAACCCGATGGAATATCATCAGTAATCAAGGACAGAATAGTATAATATTAGTTGATTTCTAGTAGGTGATCAATGATGACTGATTGCTTGAAAACAGTTTCTTTCAATTATACAACCAAAGCTGGAGTATCGTTAACGAGATACTGTAAAAAAAGATTACATTAGAAATAGATAGGAGTTAATAATTAGGTTAAAATGAGTACCGATTAAGTACTATAGCGTTGCATTTAACGCTACCTATCCAGCAGTATTCGCATTTTGCTTCCTAGGCAAGTTATCCTACGATTCCTCTCAGTGCATTGCCTATCTTCTGTATTTCACTCTAAAATTCGTCTTCTTTCCCCCGAATCTTTACCAATCAAATATCAATTCATATAAATTTTCGCAAAGGTATTCCATTAAATATTACTTACTCTCATCTTTATAAGTAGCAAACACTGTATAAGTATCAATCAACTACTCCGTACTGTACAACCACAAATTCCCTACACATCGAGCTAACATGAAAACTACACTGAAGTTAATATAATTCCATTTTAGTCTGTTTATTAGAAATATTACACAGTGAAACAGTAGCATTTACTGGATAACTGTGTGATATTTCTAATAAACAGATTAAAATGGAATTACACTCGACTACAGTGCCCAAGTTTTACACTTATATTAATGAAGTTAATATAGATCTATAATTCGCAAAAAATGAAGTTATAATATTTCTTTGAAAGTTATAGTATTTGACAGATGATATCAAATTAACATGTCATGAAGTTTAGAAGCAGAGAACAAGTCACTACATACATCAACAATTAATCATAATCGTGAAAGAATAAGTACAATAATGAACACACCTGATGAACTGCGGTCTGGGAATAAGAACAGTTTCGATTAACGGGTAGACGAATTAATTCAGTTAAAAATCTTATTGGATGTGTGAATAATAGCAATTCACAATCTAAAAGAAACTAGAATGAATAAAGATGGGGAAATAAATGAACTATCTGAAATAATCACAAATTTAGTTAAAAAATTTATCATTTTAGAAGATCGACTAGTCGATTTCACCACTGAAACCGGCGTAACATTTCTTGAGTACCATTGATCACACTATTTATTAACTGATACTTCTAAGCATAACTTCCAACTACTCTCTTATCGGTAACTTGTGTTACTTTATTAGTTGAATTAATATGCTGGTATTCAAATATATCGCAATCACCATATTTACTTTTCCTGACCGTAATTAATCCGATGCTTGCTGCCATATTACCTTGAATGTGAATACGAAATCCACTATAATCATTATTAAATATAGAACTCATTGGTATTATTATGAGAAAAAAAGGCAGTCCTTTAACTTCAAATAGACCTACAGTATCCAGATGATATAGTCCTGTTAGGTCAAGTACCTGACAAGATGCATTTTACTGGACACCTTGAGTCGCAATTTGAGAGTCTACGAAAGTTTATAACTGTCTAAATGAAAGTTGATGCTCCAGCACCGATCATCGTTGTTGCTTTAACCAACAGTACGGAGTGAAGCGATTGAGTGCACTGACCACCTCGGTTACTTTCCAGATCGGATCGGCCCTTGTGGGTCAGTGACCGACAAAACCTCGACATGGATAAAAAAAGTTCACTTGGCTCTCGTTAACTGACGCCTTATGGTACCGCCTTGACATCTGATTGCCTATCAAACGTTGAGTAATACATTACAGTTCGTTGTGTTCTAATACATAGCTATCAAAGATGGCCATCACAGGAAAAAGATATAAGGTTTCTCATCTTCGACCACCCTTGTCTACTTAGCATAGCTAGTACAGGTCACGCCACCAGATCAGTAACATAGAAGTCAGGAGTAGAGTTTCTGTGAGAAGAGGTCTTTCGACAAGGTGCTGAACCTTCATCGACTGCAATAGGTGGGAAATGTGTTACACGTAGCCAGTCACAGTCTGCTTCGTCTCGCGAAGTTAAGTAATGCAGGTTCAGGCTGGAAAAAGATTGGAGGTGACCAGACTAAAACACGATATCAGTACATAAAGGCTTTAGTTCTTGGTCTGAGCCGTGAAGGGTTATGTAGACGTTTTGGTTGGGTTCCACATGACAACTGAAATCAGTGATTGAAGACCCTAAGTGATATGGCCTACAGTCGATCGCAACGGTGCAGATTCATCCATACATTGTCTTCTTCTTAATCATTATATCCATTTTGATTTTTGTCTCATTTCCCTTCGTTCTCGTTTTACAACTTTCTACCACTTTGACTACCTTCTGCTTTCATTATCTTTGATCTTGGTCCATTCTCGCTTTATATGCTGATATGAGTTGTAGCAACTTAGATTTTTACGGGATAATGTCAGGTCTCATACTGACATTTACTTAATTAATCAAATAACTTCATGACTCTCGAAAGAGCATGTTCACACAAAACGGACGAAGTTCCTTCTTCATTGAACTGATGACAAAATATTCTAATGAATAAAGTTTTGAATCCAATCAGAAGTAAGATTAAGTTCCCAACTTCGCAACTTTCGGCACCAACTAACAAGTCGTATCAGTAACTCACTGCCCCTATGATACCCAAAACCATGTGAATAATCAACATAGTTAAAAACTATCGTAACTAGAAAACGACTGGGTAGAAATATCCTTTACTGGTAATGGTTGGTGCACACAAGACTGGGTGATGAAAGTGAATACGACTCAAACTGAGTGAAGATTAAGAGAACTAATAACAATTACGACCCGAAAACTTAAACAAGACAACAGTATCAATTGAAAGAAGGCAGTCGCTTGTATGCAAAAACATGTAAAAGGTAAAATAGTCATAGTCGACTAAAGAATAGCCATTTACAATTACGTAATAATGAGGTTAGCAGTTAGCCAGTAAATTTCTGGCAACAAATTTATGGCTTCACGTTTATCCACTGTATTAAAAATGTTACTACAACTCATATTTCAACACCACAAACCTCTGCTACGACAATAAGTAGAGAGACGAACCTAAAACTACTGTTGTAATATACATTTCCTCAAGAAGTTATGCACAAAATGCCATTACCTCTGGCGATACTCACTTCCGAATTTGGCTGCTAACTGTTTGTAATCAGCCAAAGTATTATTTCTAATAAATTCGAATTAAAAATGAGTTGTTATTTCAATCTTTGAAAACGAAAATCTAAGATTTCCAAGACATTAGGAACTGATTATTCAGGAAATACGAAGGCATTCACCGAATTAAGAAGACGGTAGCCGTAATCATGATACACAGGTAACTAACCCAGAAAAAAGTCCCCCATTCATACACTGAACACACTCATTACGTAAATCCACATATCAATAGCGCAGAATGGTAATCAAAAATGGTTCATAGGCAGACAACTTAGTTCGCTTTCAGTAACCAGATAGTATATAAACCCTTGTATATCAAGTATGTTTCATTGACCGAACCAGGTGACTGAGTTTCATAATCAGAATAGTAGAAGTACTTCCTTACAGTGAATAGTAGTGAAAAATGAAACATGCAGAGGTTTCATAAGTCCGTATTAGCAACCAATTGTTCGCTAAAGTCGATTATTCGGGCCATTTACTGAAGACAATGACAACAGAAGACATCGACAAATAACTTTTAGTCTGATTGACAACTTCCAATTTCACAACTAAACTAGTCAACTGTATCAACAGTACCCACTGTTTCATTATTGGTTAACAGCGACCAACACAGCTACTATATGAAGCATCTCGTCCATCATCTAATGTAACGAAATACGGAAAAAGAAAAATATTGGGAAGCTCACCTCTTTGTCAAAATGATTTGAGATATGTTGGTTATCATCAGAAGAATCAGAATTGTAAACCACTAAACGATTGAATATCTGTCTAACACGTGACTGAAAGTGTACATTTGAATTCGATAAAGGTGTTGCTCGATTACAATTTTTAGACGACTGAAGGGATTTTAACAATTCACATTTACTTGACACTGACAAATGTTCAAAGACAGCACGAAGAAGCTGAATATATTCATAAATTACAAGAAAGATCAAACAAAACATACTGAAAGTTTACACTAAATACCATGATCACCATACACATGAATTCAAACTACAATATCTACACACTTATCTCATATGAAAATAATAATAAACAAAATTGTAGATATAAAATAATTTAAAAGTTACTCATGACATGCACAGAAGTAGAAAAAACAAGTGATACACACAGTAATTTAAATTTCAGACAATGAGTTCGCTTCAACGATAATGATGAACAGTAGTCGGTCAATCACCGTGTGAGCAATGTTGAGGTCAGGCGAAGGGTACTAGACACACAGGCGATTCGGTTGATGAGATCGTGAACTTTCATCGCCTGAGGTGGCTTTCATATGTATGCGCATGCCGAGCCGCCCTCTACCTCAATTTGACACACTGCGGGGAGTTGGATTAGGTTCGAAAAGGGTTCAAGGTGGCCAGATCCAGACACAGCACCCGTCGATAGAGTCCCTGACTGTTGGTCTGACTCGTATAGAAAGATGTAGACTACACAGGTGGAGGCCTCGTGATTATAGGAATCAGTGGTTGAGGACCCTTGGTGGTATTGCTGAAAACCGGTTAAATTCCCGCAGACGTATACACTCCTTGACGTCTTCTAAAGTCTAAATATTCGCAATAACCTTTATCTTCAAACTGTTCATTTGCTCATACAAATTTGTCTACCTTGATATATAGGTATCAGTTTTTCTATCCACCTGTTCTTTGTATGCTACTGTGAAGTGTGGCAAATTTGGCCGGTGCAACTGTGTGAGGTTCTACGTTTGTATTATCAGTCAGTCAGTCGATCAATTCTGTTCAATCGACAACACGAAACTACAGGTTATAACATCAAAATTGTCCCCATTGCACAAGAAGTGGCTTTTGTTACTCAGCAGCCTAGTGGATAACGCTCTGGAGTTCCAAGCAATGGGTCTTGCGTTCGCGTGTCAGTCGTAAAAACATCACTCACTGGGAGGTAAGTAAATCCAGATGACGAATATGCATCCTGGAATCCATGGCTAACCACTATGCATCATTACTATCAAAATGAAATTGCTGGCAACATCGATGCATGAGCTACGGAATCCATAGGCTAATAGTGGCTGATCAATTCTGTCGAATCAATGAGGGGAAAGAACAAGTTAGAATATTAACGAGTCCACCTCACTAGCAGAAGTTAATGCAGGTGTTATACAGTACGTGTACCTTATGATCTATTGCTGTTATACGCTTAAGAGCACGTCTCCATCCACTATGGTGCTTTCTCCAAATTTTACCTTGAACTTGCAAAGTAATCAGTTGAAAGAGTTTTAAAAATGTGCGGGTGTATATAATACGATTAGAGGACATACATCAATGACTAAAACAATGGAGAAAATAGTTATTTGATGCAATTCATTCTATGAAGAAATTAGTTAGCACCAAGTTACAGCAGACCATCTTAGGAAATACTGTCTAGTCCTGCTTCAAATAGGTCCATCCGCCTATCAAAATCAACATAGGGCCAGACATTACTGCGTAGCGGTTCGAGTTGCCACACTTCATATCAACACATCAAATAAAAAGACAGTGAAATGGAAGATGAAGAAAAGAAAATTCAATCAAAAGAAATACAAAGCACTAAGAGAGAGAAGGGAAGAATGAGAACATGGTGAGAGTCGGTATAGCGTCGTTAAGATGATGATAATGTGTGCACACATCTGCGCCACTGACTTCAATTCTGAGTCATATCACCTAAAGTCTCCAACCGCTGGTTCCCCTTGTCCCGCCGACCCCAACCACCTAGTCTGCATCGCCTTACACGGCTCAAACCCACAGTCAAACACTTCATACATTGATGCGACGTTTTAGTCTGGCCGCCACAAGCCTTTTACCAACTTGAATCTACTTCGGCCAACATTGTGTGACGAGGCAGACGGCAACCAGGCACGTGGTGACACCACGGAATACGGTGACCTATACTACGAAGGCGACGGTGGTCAAACACCTGTGTTCTGAAGCCCTCTCATGTCTCCCACCTTCAATGGCCATTTTCAGACATACAGTAGAACTAAGACGACTGCTGTGCAGTACACATGACCCTCAAAATCAAACGGATATCACGACAGCGCCACAAGTGGCGTAAGTTGACAAAAGCCAGCCGAGCCTTTTGTATGCGTGCAGAGATTTCATCGACCACTGACCCACCAGGGCTGATCCTACTTCCCAGGTAAGTGAAGTGGTCAACACACTCAACCACTACACTCTCTATTGTTAGCCGATAGGTAAAAACAGAGGGATGAGATATTGAGCATTCAACTACCTGTGACTGTTTACTATTCGGATTTCATGACATTAATAAACTTGTCAGTAACAGGTTTCTTTAAAAGACAATTCCACAGTTCAGTCCCCTTCAACGAATCAAAGATAGCAACAATTTTAGACCTGCAATACGCGTAATGACGTTCAGCAATCCGATAGAAGATAAAAAAAAACATATGATCTATGCACGCATGATCTGAATGAAAGATAGCTTGCTCAATTATTTACGCCTCTTGAACAACCTAATCATCACGACTATGAGAAAAGTACATCTCAAATCAAATCAAGCATCAAGTTGAAAACACCTTTTACTATCCCATGCAGAGGAGAAAGATAAAACCATCCACCTGAGCTACAAATATCCTCCATCAGAAAAATAAAATGCCCAAAACACATATAAAATATTACATTACCTTCAAATGTTCCTTCTCCGGTAGCGTTGCCTTACGAACACGATCTAGTTGTAAAATAAGTGAATAGCAGAACAGATGATCTTTGGCCAAGAGTTTAGCATGTCGAAACAAACGGGGAAACAAGCTACAACAAAATGAAGAAAAATAACATCACATTCCAGTGGATCAAGGCCAAGTATAATATACAATATAAAGAGCCTAACACCAAGGCTAGAGTTAAAGGAGATTTCGGAACTTTAATCTTCATCTGCATATCACTGTAAGCACTTCTAAAAATATATGTTTTGATTTTTCTGGTTTTCAATTAGTGCATTAGAAAGTAATCACTGATGAACCCACTAAGATGAACTTTAGTATGAAAAACGAAATGAGTACAAAAGTTTCTACGAAATATTTGGAGAATTTAGGGTATAAATGATATACTCATAAAATTATGCAAACTAATAAAGTTAATCTAGGATACAGCAAACTATTTCTTCTTTTTATTACTTGTCTGGATGGGCATTACTGCAGTAATTCGGTTACCTGATACGAGTTTGCGTTAACTACACCATAAGTCACATTTATTAAATGAGCCGATGAGAACCCCGTGAAATAAATGACGTTATTCTAATCTGCAAATATCGTTCCTGTTGTGTCATTTCAGTGCGACTAATTAGACGATAATTTTGTTCGAGTGAAAACAAGTTACTCAACGACATCACACCATAACGTATCCATATTCAGCCTCTTAATCAACTAACTCCCAATCAAATTTTTCGTGCAATCAACAAATTACTACTTCATAACGATTTCTAAGTTCCTTATAATCAACAGACGGTATAAATTTGAAAAAAGTAAGAAAAAGGATATTTACAAAATAGAATGCGTTCATTTTATTCGGTAAACATCGTTGTTCCCGCTTTCTTCGAGATCACCAATTGAATCAATATATGAAATAGGGTAATTTTTCATCGAAATTCATCCTGGATATAATAAACGGCTGATTTGGCTATATACAGTAAATTTAAGAAAGTGTCCGTCAGTGAGTAGAGCATCTATGTCATATAATGATATAGCAATAATGATACATTGAAGATGTTTATGGAAGTCATCTGACGATAACTTGAACATATTTTTATTTCGCCCTCCTAACGGCTTCTAAACTAAAAGAGACAAGATGGAAAAGCTGAAGAAGTGGTCACTTAACAGCTTGGTGCTGTGATTCAACACAGTTCAATCAAGTTTAGAATTCAATAATCAATAGTAACACTGAAATCCCCAGGAAACATAAATCTGCTACTCGGACAACAAATCTACGACACAGCTAAAAACGAGTCGGAGAAAATGAGAAAGTAAAAGGAAAGAATCGACAACACAATTTATGATGACAAACATCCAAAAAAATGGCAATTTATTCACAATATATTCATAAATGATTTCGACGATTAACCATTAACTGAAAAAGCGAGTTTCCTGAAGCATACTATCGATTTCGCATCAGGTTCAACACTTTCTAAATAATGATTGAAAATAATCATTGATGTATGCGTAAAACTTGAGCACAATGGTAGAGTATAATTCCATACTAAGTTTTTCATTTGATATCGCACACAGCGGTACTCTATATAACTTATTAGATGACATTTCGAGCAAGATTTATGGCTCATCAAAGTAAACCATACAACTTTCAAACTTCACCTTTATAGTTCGACAGTTTTTTATTGTTTCATTTTCTAATGGTAGTTAAATTTTTCAAACATCTGAAGCATGAATCATTTTTGTTAAATGTATAGGAAAAAACTCGAGTGACTTTAAAGACCACCCCAATAACTACTGAAATAGGGAATTCATTTTCAGTATTGTATGAGAAATTACCCTTCTAGCCAGAATACAGACATCGGATTTTTCATTTCAGTAGTTACCAATATGGTCTTTAAATTAACTTGGAAAACTTGTCTATCGCTCCAGCTTCATTGATTCATAATCTCATTATGGTGTGAGATAGATTGACAGTTCTAAAATTCAATCCAGTTAGATGAAAGGAGAAATTGATGACAGAGTTATTGTTCATTGAATCAACACCTAATGCATGTAATAGGAATGATTCATGTCATCTTGCAGATATTTGGAAATTTTTACTACCATTAAAATGAAAGAATGAAGGACTGTTGGATTATATAAGTGAAGTCTAAAAGTTGTTTGATTGCTTTCGCATAGTTATGAGCAGTAAATTCTGCTCAAAACATCATCCAGTAGATATTACTGCGTTACCATGTGCTATATTAACTAAGCAATCTAACAAAGGATTTAAAATTAGTCAACTGTTGCATGAATACTCTAGGGTGAATTTTTGAATAATGATGTCTCCTAAAAGTATGAAGTCAGCGCCTCTTTAGTACATCCCGTCTTTCTGAACACATTGTCAGAGATAATATGACTCAGTGACTTTAGATGATGCTAGCAGTTACCCAAAATCATCATAGTCTGGGAGAAACACATAAGTTCTTTTCTGTACTCCAATGCAGCAAAATAAAACAGAATTAAGCAAGAAATGCGTCTGCGAATACTGCTTTTACGCAAGTACTTCAATTTTCCTGAAGATGTAAGGAAATCCCTAAACATGCTTTTGAAACTAATTTTATTTTTTTTACATTCAAGTTTATCATTTCAAAACCAGTTTTTAGACCATGACCAGAACCTTTTTTCTACATTCTTCAAGGTTATCTCTTTGTTGGCTAGCATCATATTAATTCATTAATTAATTAACTAATATTCTCCGTTTTGGACAAGGTTGAGAACAGGAGGTAGCCGGATGATTGCGTCAAAAGTTTTAGCGTTAGATCGCCTCATAGCCTTACGTCCTAGCAGTTCATCGGAATAAAACGGAAAATTAATATTTCGCTCTATATGCTCGCCTCCTTTCTTTTCGTATCTTATTATATTTCCATACGTTTGTCGCTCTATACACTTATTCATGTAACACTAATATAGTATCACTGATGCCTGTATTTAAAAAGAAAATACGGAGTAAACACTCACACGTTGGCTGCTTCCATGTCCTTCATTTCCACAGACGAGACACACCAGAATGCATAATCTAAAATAAAATAAAATTTGACAGAGACTGGTAAATTTAGAAAATAATACTCTAAAATTAGGAGAGAAATGCACACCAAAAAAATAACACACCATATTCATGACAAGGCAGCGATAATCTCTACTGAAATACAAGAACTGAAACGCATCAAAAACCCAATCTTATGCACAAGACTTGAACGAAAAAAATTAATCATAGGACCGACGTCAATACGCACCTAATCCGATTTAAATAGGTGACAATAGTCATAAACCTGTGATTGTAGTGTAAATATCTTCATTGGTGAATCAGTATCCTCATCCTCCACTGATAGGAAGCAGCCTAAATCAAAATCAGAAGTCTTAGTCATAGGGTGACTCTACAGGTCACCTTGGCAACACTTTAAACAATCAATCAGATTTCGCCATTTACTTAAAATCTGTTTTTCTAGGCGAAATGAAGAAAAGTAATTGGTTGTTTAAGTTGTTGCTAGGGTAATCTTTAAAGTCACTCAAGTCATCAGCCGCCACACAGAAGTTTTGGATTTCAACCTTTTTGCATGTTACTGCGTGGCCAGAGAAAATCTTATTTGATAACCTTCTCCTTCAACTGACCAATGAGATGAAGTATCCAATTTCTGATCTAGTGGCTTTATGTTCTGAAGAAAACCGCATATGAATGTAATTTTTCAAATAGTGTTCTCCCATCAGTTGAAGGAACCAATCTATGTCTTCTGGTTTTCGCAACTAAGTGAAGTATAAAGTTCCGAGGGAGAATAGTCCTCATTCGCATCCAGTCCAAGTGTCTCACTGAGTTAGTAGCGTTCTTGCATTTCATACTATTCTGTCAGTCACTTAACACACACACACACACACACACACACAAATTAAAGTCAGCTCAGGAAACGCAGACATATTTCTATTCAACTTTAGAAATTTTATTGAGTGACTACCGAGAAAAACTTCGTATATTAACATGCATACTGAGATGTGCATAGATTATACGAAAGGAATGAATTCAGAACATTTTTTATGAACTAAAGCACTACCAGATTCTCCACGTTAAATCACGCTGTGCCAACAAGCAAAATAACAGCTTCTTCCATAAATACACCTAAGTTAACCTTAAAGAAAAGAGGGAGATAGGATCGATGAGATTTACTTCAATCAAAGAACATCAAATATTTATAGAACTCAACGGTCTTCAGGTAGATAAATTAATAAATACCACATTATAATCGGGAGGAAAAACATTTAGGAAATAAGTTCATCTAGAGAAGTATGCAGGATCTGAGTATGAGAGGTAAAAACGAGATTCAAAATTCACAAGATAAAATGTTATAGAATATGAGCTTATTTTTTGGAGATTGAGTTTCCTCAGCGGTTCTTCTGCTTCTATTATTATGCCACTGAATTCCTATTGTAAGGTTATTTTAATTTCATACATAAAATACAACGTTAAAGAAATCTCATGTTATATGATTGAAGTAAATCACTTCAATTCTGTCGCTGTCTTCTCTATAGTGTCAGGCAGATGTTATTGTTCGTTCGTTGGTGCAGGCAGATTTCACTTTAATAACCTAGTAATACTGCAGTAGATAAGAGAAACTAGTAAGAAAACAGTGCCATCTTGAGGTAAAAAAAAAAGTAAACGATGCACAGATGGGCAGAGTAACAGGTCAACACAGAACCTACCACAAAATCTCATCAGTGTATAAGTGACGTACAGGAAAAGGAGAAAAGTGTAAGAAAAGAGGAATTCAATTCTAAATGTTAAATTTTATAAAACCTAAGCTTTATCGGCTCTGTTTTGGAGACAACATATTCATAAACAATCTTTGCAAGTTTCTAATCAAAGGTCAACATGTCGGGAACCTACAAATGGATAGAAATTGAAGTTGCCTTCGAGACTGGCATATCACAGATGAGATTCTAAAATGCGGACTCATGAAACCTGTCAAAAAAAACATTCTATTTAGCTCATCTACAAATAATTTATGCTACTTTCTCAATGGGTAACACTTATAAGACGGGCAAAGTGCTGGTCAATGTAGCTTTATCCCTTCACAGTTTGATTCAAAACATGTGAATGAAGACAGATTGAAAATTCCACCTGATAGCACTTGATGAGTAGTGAAAAAAGGTTCGGGAGATTCTTGTAATGAAGTCTAAAGGATTATCCAAAATGGCGTCAGGAAATATATTGGTGAAAAATCTTGAAATATAGAAGTCGAATGATTTTCTCCATCCACTCTCTTGAATAAAGCTACAACACTGAAAGTCCTTGATTTTGTTGTGTAAATCGTTACCTAAGATACTAATTTCTCATTCCTTTTTCTAAAATTACTATGTTATTTCAACTCACACTTTTCTTAACCCCAGATATATTAAAAAATATGGTAATACTTCTTACGTAACTTTTATCTCCACAACCAATGGAACATTCTATCTTACCAAAACAGATAAACACTTTTCACGACTAATTTTAGACAAAAATTACAGTAAAATGTGGTTATGCAGCTTTTGTGAATGAGCTAATCAAAAACAAACCTCCTACAAATGAAAAAGCGAAACACAGATCATAAGTGACTGGCTTTCACAAAGTTCTTCCGATGTTCTAATCCAGTTTCGTGATTTGTAAACGAAAGTGAGTGTGAGGATGGACACCTACTGATGACGTTTGCTGACAGTCAGCCTATCCCTTGAATTACCAACATTTAGAAAATGATAATGACTGGATGCCTATCAAAGGTATCTATGCCAACGTGCGTGATCAACATGAGATTTAAAGGTCCTGTGTGTAATCGCATGTGAGACCGCCAGTGTAAACTGTTGAGTTTAGACCTAGAGTGAGACATGTGTTTACTAGACTCTTGCTATGAATGGTTCTCCAACTTATTTTAAATTGATGATGAAAACTGTGTTTTAAAACTTTTTTCGATGAAACCTCGATTTTAACTTGATATTAACAGTGAAGAATTAACTCATGAAAACTGTGATTACTTCGCAGAGAGTAACCAACTTCCGGTTGTCTAGCCCGAAGCTAGTAAGCTCACCACCGTGGCACACTTTGGTTGATGTTACAGAATTGAAGGCGACTGGCAGAAAGCCCTAGAAACAAATACACCCTGACGACGAGTGCCAACAAGCACATAGCCTAGCGCCAGAGCTTCCTACCAATAGCTTCCAACAACTTAACATCAAAACTTTATTTAAAAATTGACAGCTTGGTTATCATTGATAAATTGCAAGACACTTTTTCAATATCCCTCCAGCAACCACAGACAATCATAGAACAAAAGAGAACAATTTCGTCACAATCACCATTCTACAGTTTCCACAACTTTTTAGACTGCTTACATTCCTCTATAAACATAACGAAGAGTACAATAATTCTGAACGACATGGTTTCTGCTGCTGTTCTAATGTTATCAATCTAAAGTGACCACTAACACACTGTGACTAACCAGATAGTGCCACTTGCCTCACTTCATAATTATAAGGACTTACCCTTATAAAGTTTTAAAATTATATTTTATACTGCATGGAGGAAAATAAGCACTTTTGTTCTGAAAACAACTTGGTATATTGAACATATTAACTTAATAAATTTCATGCACGAATTCCCATTTATGAATTTTAAAAAAGCAAAAACAGGAACATTTATTAATTTACTGAGAGAAAACCAAATGTCAATCTGTAGTTAAAATGGACAGAAATTATGCTAAATTTTTCAGTAAGACTATATATTTTGATATTCTAGGTTGTAAGCAGTTGGACAAGATATGACCGAAACAAAATAGACCAGTTTTATTTTGTTTCTATTGTCATTCTTACTCTTTTAACATCATTGAAACGCTCGACTGAACAATCTGAAACAGTTCTAGTTATCAGACTTATACATATAGAAAAATTGTCACAATAAGAACAAAACCAATATGCTCACAGTAAACGGTTTGGCGTTCCACTAATTAAGTTACAAGAGCAGATTACTGACCACAAATCGCATTCCTTTTTAGTTACGGATTAGACTTTGTGTGACAGTTAGTGTAATAGTGTGCAAGTATTTATACATTTGTCATTTACAAAACAATAAGTAATAACATTTGGAGAAATCGAGATCTGATTAGAACCAGATTCCCGTAGCTCTGTAAATGAAGCAACGGATCAGCATGCTTAAACGCTGCTAAGACCTATTTATCTTTTAAGTTCACTTATCACTGTCAAACAAAAGAATCCGATTTGTTTCATATACTGAATGAATAACAATAATGTGATGATAATAATATTCAAATGTGTGCAAATTCTCGTTTCAATACCTCTTACCTGTAACATTTAGATTTTGTTCCAGTACCCAAGATATTAGGCTTATATGAGCACTTCCAAAAGTGGAAGACTTTTCAGGTTTACGAAGTGAGATACTCAGTAATTCAAGAACTATATTCTTTGGGGCAGTAACATGAACCAAACACGTTAATTGCTTGGACAAATGATGAATATTTGTAGAAGTTGGTTCCAATTCATAAGCTATAACTCGACAAGCTCGAACAAGCAAATAGTCTCGAACTACATTGAGACGTTCAACTACTTGCGGATCAGTGAAAGCAATAATAGGGAGATCAGGATTTTGCTTTAAACAGTCAGCTAAGCCTAAACTAGAAAGATAAACAAGTATATTATGCATCAGGATACCAGTCGCTTTTATTTGAATGTTTCATAGTAATAAGTCCAATATCTTAGACTTTAACCTATGATATAAGGGTTCATAGGTGAATACTGGAGCATTAAACATGTGAAAATTCTTCAGAACTCAATCAAACCTTGACTATTTTCTTCAGCATAAGACAATAATTGTTTACTGCCAAATTACTGGATAAAAACTCAAAGTAAGTGGCTAAATAAACTCAACATTTAGTACTTCAGTGAGTCGTTTTAAAGTCGCTACTTCAGACCTACAAAAAAAATTAAGATAAAACATTGCACAGAAGCGTATCACTTGAAACCGTAATATTTGACAGCAGAATGTAAAAAAGTAGACAGAAAAAGAACGATATTAAATTTGATAATAGAAAGCGTGTAACAGGAGAGGGAATAAGTAAACAAAGGTTGTTAAATATGTCCCTAATTAAGGAGTAATAGATTGAACATATTTGTAATGACCTACCAACTACGTACCACCTTCATATAATCACTCAAGACAAAATAAACATATTCACTGCTATGTATTTAGAGCTCTGCATCCTTCTTTAATAAGATCTGTAGTTTTTTATGTATACTATACAACCGTTGTGATTTCAAGAATATGACTGAAGTGCGTGAAACCAAATATTCCACCGATCTTTCCACTACGAAAGAATTTTGAAGGGGCATATATCGACGGAAAGTATAAAGCAAAATGAAAACAGACGAACAGATTGTAAACTAACATCGAAATTTCATAAGTATCAGAACATTCTACACAATGTGAATGCATCCCATTCAATACGCTTTAGAAGACAGAAACCACCCAATTCTCATGATACATTCCCTAAAGACTATTGAAATTACGATGCCGAATTGCAGTTTCCAAAACACTTGTTACTTAATAAAAGACATGAGAAGGCATCAGAAGTTTGATCACCGTTGATTTCGTAACATAGGCCATGAGTCGCAGAGCTACCATATCAGAAACGTTGAGGTCAGGCGTAGAGTTCTAGGCAAAATAAGTGAGTCAGTTGATGAAATTGTGAACCTTCATCGATTTAGATGGCTGAAACAAGTGTTTTGCAGCCTAGTCATCGTCTTCCTCGTCGCGTAAAGTTAGCCGAAGTAGGTGTCAGTTGTAAAATTGATACAGGCAACTGAACTTGAATATAAGCATCACTCCATGTAGTCTCGGATTGATGGTTATAACTATGAGGGGAAATGTAGACTTCCACGTTCAGGACTGCGCGGAAACCGAAGCTGATAAATAAAAACTCTGTGTAATATGGATCGAAATCAATCACAACGAGGCAGATGTATAGATACACTAACTTCCTAATTGTCAAGCAGAATTTGGTTAGCTTAATTTGTTCTTGTTCCCTTGTTCCCGAATTGACAACTTGTTGTGTCCGACAGGCACACCCGCTGTGATCGTTCCTGTTTAGTTTCATTACAGATGTATAGTAATGGATATAACCGTAGGTACCTTTGACTTCGCAGGAATAAACCCTGGAGAGCATCTGGTTGGTTTAGCGCACGCAAACAACATTATCGTGCAAGGTGAAGACGCTAGCAAAATGTAAGGTCTTTTAAACATCTTGATTAGAAATCTGAGAAAATTTGACATGCATTACGCACCCGTCAGATGTAAGAAGATGGTTTATGGCTGGTTTGAAACTACTCCTAATTTATGGATAGAGGGTGGAACAGTTGAACGCGCCGATCATTTCGCTTACTTGCAGGGTAGGTTGCTGACGAAATCTCAGCTCGGATGCAGAAGCTTCGTTTGGCACTTGCCAACTTGCAACATCTCTGATGCTGACTAGCAAGATGTCCGACTACCTTATTCTGGACGAGTATACTGCGCTGCATTCCGCGCTGTCATGTTATCCAGCTGTGAGACATGGCCTTTGAAAGTAGAAGATATGAAGATGTTACAAGCTTTTTACCATGTGTATCTTTGTAGCATCGCTTTCTCCTGATGTGAGCAGTGCTAAGACTAACCGTACAGTACCAGGTAAGACAAGCGATTTGATGACGTTGTGAACGTTTAGCGATATAGGTAGCTTGTGTATACGTTGTGTGTGCTGAGCTAGCTGTGTTACAGTCAGGATTCACACTACTACTAATTCTTATCCTCTCTGTCGAGCTGTGGCAATTTGGCTTAAGTAGGCGACCTTCAACCAGTGAGTTACGAAGTTCAAGTCCCGCTCCAACCACAGAGGTTTGGGTAGTCAGGTAGTGTCGTTCGCCCTCAGACAAATTAAGGGTTAACTAATTTAGGTACCAAGTTCTAAGTCCTTTTTATCGCCATAACCAAAAAGTAGATATCATTCACAATTGGAACAACCCACAAACCTCCATACTGAATATGAACCTGGTGCCTGCTAGTGATTTGCTTCGAGATGTTGTGACCTGAAGCCTCGGCCAAGTCGAGGACGCGTACTCGTCGCACTACATCAACTGATAAAAGTCGGTAACATGTGCCTCTTACTGAGTCGTAATGTGTTCACTGCGAGACACGGCAATCTTAGGTTCGACTCCGTATGATTTCGTTGATGTGAACTACTGACTATGACCAAACAGCGATTTAGTGCTTTATGATTCTTAAAGCCTATGTCACTGATTTTAATCTGTTATGAAAACTCCTCTTTAATCAGTAATAACGGGTGCGTTTTCTGACTGACTGACTGACTGACTGACTGACTGACTGACTGACTGACTGACTGACTGACTGACTGACTGACTGACTGACTGACTGACTGACTGACTGACTGACTGAATCAACGTAAAACCTCGCACTCAGATGTATCAGTTTCGGTTGCCATACTTCACAGCAGTACACAAAGAACAAGTGGATAGAAAAAGAGTGATATCATAGTAGACAAAGCTATGTGAGAGAGTAAAGAATTTGAGGACAACGGTTAGTGCAAATATTCAATCTTTACAAGATATCATTAAACTCCAATGAAAATCAGATTTCAATTCACTTGTAAAACCTCTCAAACTGACCCCATACGTTCTCCCACCAAGGATTAAAACTCTAACATCTAAAAGCTGTTTAGGCTCTTAATAATGATAATATTTTGCAGGACTTTGCAGATTATAGTAAATTACGAGCATGATAACAGTTTGCCAGTATATCAATTTTACAGTCACTTACTCCTGAGCAAATTTAAAATATATCTGAAGATAACTAAAAATTTCTAGTCGGGGCGTTTGCAAAAAGCACCTTATCTGATTCTACACATGACAAGTTCGCTCAAGTAGCTCGCCAAAATCCAGGTGGTTTGAACAACTCGGCTCCCTGAGCTGAATCAATCTGGGTACACCACTGATGTGGTCAGCCCCAAGCGAGCGAAACCACCATCCAGTGATTAGATCACCCTGATCTGACTGGCGAACACTGCTGATTGATGGGCCGGAGTGGCCTAGAACCGCTAATGTTAGTCACTAGTATATTGGAATTCTGTTGTTATACACCAGTAAAAATAAAAAATAATTCACTAAGATGATACACAGGTTTGGAAACCTTGGTTCCGAAGTGATTCATCCAACTTGCTAGATATACAGTTTCATCGACATAATTAACGCTTTCGTGTCCCAGATACCGATAGTTAATTTATTTAGATAAAGCGAAATCAAAACTATAAACGAGTTGATCTTCCACCATTATTGACAATTAACTCCGATTATCTTATATATGAGTGAAGAGGCAACAACTCAACACAGTGTACTCATCATCATATTCGATAAAATTTATCGTTCTGGAAGACAGCCAGATGTATGAAAATTAGTTCAGGTTTGATAGTATAAACTACCGTTTCCAACCAATGACAGTCGATTTCTCAATATTTTTAACAACAAATCTGCTAAAAAGCAGTTTTCCAGGAACCAAGAGAATATCAAACTGAGTGAGTTTCTGCTTCAGAAGAGTCAAACTAAAACGTTGTGGGTACCCGTTTCAAGTCATTTTCCATAGTTTCACGACTAGCGACATTGTCACTCAAAACTTATTTCGTGTCCACCCCTAAATGAAAACACTTCAATACAAAAAGGGAACAAGATTGAATTCAGATAATCACAATGAAAACTTTTGAAATGACTCACTAAAAAAAGTGAATCAAACAGTACTTACTGTACTAGATTTTTTAAAATCTTCACAATAGCTGCGCATACAGTAGTAGAGAAATCATGATTCGGTGTGTCTGCAAATGTAAAATCTTTCTCCTTATTCGCCTGTAGGTGTTCAACAGTTTTACGATAAAGCCCGCCTAAACTATGCATATTTACAGATGCATGAATACCAATCATTTGGGAGGCGGGATCTTTAATAGTTTTCGACACATAATCCTTTCGATGACAATCCACGTAGACACGTAACAGATTTATAATAAACAAATTCAAATGTTCAGGATAAGCAGATAACTGAGTAATAGTCAGTGATGACTTTTCAACAAGTTGAGGTATTAAACGAACCCATAAAGAATATAATTCACGGGCTATAATTTGATACGACTGCGAATGACCAAATGCAATATTCCACCATGAGAGAAGAATTAAACAGGATAACGACTCCATATAATGAACTTCTAGACTTGATTGAGCAAAGATATGCTGTACAAATGCTTCTAAGAATAATATTAGCGATGTTATATTTCTATAATCAATTTGAGGATGATTCTCCTAAAAGGTTAAGGAACGAAAAGTATTGATTAAATACACTTTACACTAAAACTGAGTACATACTTATGTTGCACTGATTACAAGCCGACACGTACTTCATAGTTCTGATGAAACAACCCAAACACCTTACAATGATTATTTAGGAAACGAAAGCAAATTAAAAGATAATCAATAAGAAACATAATTCTAAATTGCTTTTTTCAGGTCCCTCGACTCGCGGATAAATGAACGAATGGCATTTAAACAATAATACCGACCCTATTATCGTGTCGATAGAAGTCTATCCACTTCATATTGGCTTAATGAAGGGAAATTCACAAAATGAAAGACAGAAAAGTCAAAATATTTAAATGAGTGATGATATAGGAAACTAGAAGACACAGGATATAAAACAACAAAGGGGGTTAAAGGATGCAAGATGATAAAATTTTGAGAATCTAACGCAGGATAAAGCACGAACTTACATGTGTACAATAAAGGGATATTAAAATCGTCTGGAACTTCAAATGTTTCTATTTAATAAATATCCACATACTCCAATAATTGAAGTAGTAATCCACTTTGTTAACACGATTTCCCAAATTTTCAGGTTATCATTTGCAGTACATTCATTTCTTAAAAACTGCACCCTACCAACGGTACTGATTGATCTTACAAGTTATGACAAGTCACTGCAGAGTAGATACCCTAAAGATAGTTAATAACCATATTTTTTCGAGTTTAACTAAACAAACGAAACGTGCATCCAGCATTCCACCACCACTAACCAATAACAAATATAACTTAGATCTGATTACACGTAATGCCGAGGTATTCGTACAACACGCTCATATGCCAACTTCTATATATCAACAGGGGGAAAGATCCAAAAGAATAATGGCAGACTAACTAAACATTCACACAACCCGATGCCAGCTGCACTACAGCAGAAAGAATAAGTGGTTCACAAAGGTTGTCAATAATCATTTCAGCATAGCAACACAATATTTCGAAGACACTAAGCAAATTTCTAGCTTCACCACAGGTGCATCAATCAGATCTACACTTCTAATGATAAACGCGCAGCAGTGCCGAAACGTGATATACTTCTAAACGTGAAGAGAATATTCAACTCCGCGAATTGAAAGATTCTAGACATTGTCTCATTAAAAGAGGTACCGAGTAAATACACTACACTAGCGAAGACTGTGTATTCAAACATTTATGGGCATGTAGGGGCTTATGCTGAGTTGTAAACGATGAGCGGTATCCAACGCGGATATCCATTTTCTCCTATTAACTTAGCCACAGACGTACTTATGGAGGTATCCCTGCCCTGGCCTCACTTTACAAGGATTCACATGGTCATAGAAGACGTTCAAATAGATTCAGAGGACGTAGATGAAAATGTCAGACGCAGATGATGCTAAAATCTAAAGTATGAGCACCTCGAGTGTCAATTTAAAAGTGTTTGGGATGCGTTTCTCACCACCAAAATACGAGTCGCTGCTTAAGGATTGACCTAAATTGGCATCGGTGCCAGCACTACTTCTGAATGAAATAACTAAGCCTTTTGACCTTTACTTACTTCGGAAGTCGATTAGTCACACAAAAAGTCTCTGCATGGCTGACTTGGCCTTTGCTAACCTACCCATTTATAGAACCGGCACGATATTAAGGGCCAAGTGTACTGCGCATGAGTTCTTTCTGTTAGACTTACTTAACAGTTGTCAAGCATGGCTATCAAAGGTTGGGAATGTAAGAAGGCTTCATGTGTTGGATCACCGTTCCCTTTGAAGCACTGACTGTATCTTCAAACCAGCATATGACCAATGCAGCAGACAGGCATAGTGTCTCAAATAAAAGGAGGTAAGTCAGCTGATGAAGTTGTGAGCCTGTACTAACTTAGGAGATTGGGACATATTTTACGTAAACTTAATCCATGTTTACTGCGAAACCCGATGTTAGCTGAAATAGGATAGAGGAGTTGAAAGAAGGTTTACGGTAGTCAGACCGATACATAACAGCAGCCCATGAAGGGGAACATAAACTTCCCAGCTAATGTCCTTATGATAACCAAAATCGGTGGTTGAAGACTTAAGGCGACACGGCTCAGAATTAATCCCAACAGTACACATGCACCCCCACGTTACCTTGGTTCTAATATTTGTCATCTCTTATGATTTGCTTTATTCCCCTCTTACTTTCCCTCTGAGAATTTCCACTAACTTTGGTTGCTTTCTTCCTTATTACTCTTTCATTCTTGATGTATTTTACATTGATGTGCCACTGTGGTGAGTAGGAGCGTTATACAGTACTATCAGGTCCCATGTTAGTACTGACTAACTGGTCAAGACAACCGAAAATGGCTTTACGAGTAAAATATGATTGCTCTATTACTTAATATTGCTCCCATATTCCTTCCTTCGGTTTAATGAACAAAGTAGAATCAGAATGACAACAAGATGGATCAGAATTATCATTTAGTGATCAATTGATCAATTCGCGAGCTGTTTGAAAAGGGAAGTGACTTTTCAAGTCCAGCTAGATTCTTGGCATTTTTGTGTTTACACATCAAAGACTGTTGTACTTTTGCTCCAATCGGAATATTATTTGATTAAAGTGAGACAGGAATTTTTACTGGGTGAATTTCTGTAGTTTCTGCTATATTGTGAGCCAAAAGTGTCGTAAAAATGCTTGTGGTACGGCCGGGTGCCACTTCACGGCGGCCTATGGTATGAAGTGTATCGAATGTAAGAGTTGGTTCCATGATAAGTGTACAAGCCTCACACTCCCAGCATATAAGAGGTACAGCAACGCAGGAAGTGTCTGCCTTTGTACGTTATGCTGCTCGAATATTCGCACTCTGGTAGAAGAAGCAAAAACACCTCTAAATACGATAACTAAGAAACTGTTGTCGAAAGTCAAAGTCGATAATTGTGACAGTGATGAAGACTCAGCATCCATTGATACACCGATTGCTGTGCAAAACTTTAAGAACGGACGGAAACACTGTCCTCCGTAGATGAACCACGAAATCCAAATCTTGCTACGACGTAAGAAAAAGCGTTGGAGTCTTGCCATCCAACTGGGTACACTCGAAGTGGTGAAGTATTACAAAGAAGCTCGCAATAAATGTATCGCTGCTATCCGCCGGTTTCGAATATGCTTTGAAACACGTCTTGCCCAGGCTGCATTGCAACATCCGAAGAGGTTATTTTCCTATATGAACTATAGAAATAAGACGTGTCGTGGTACACCCGCCCTAATCAATGGGACAGAAAATGACTGTTTGATTGAGGACGATAGGGAAAAAGCAAAGCTATGGCTGGATATTTTGCTGAGGTCTTCACACAGAAATCTTCTGTGGACACTTATCCAACAGTAGAAGCTTTGATATCCAACAGAATAAACTCTGTGGATATCGATCGTAATGACGTGTTTCGGACATTAAGTACTCTCGATGTAGAAAAATCAACGGAACCAGATGAGCTGCCCCCAAGGCTGCTCAGAGAGCTTGCACTCTATGTAGCCGGCCCATTGACTACTATATTCAGACTGTCTCTCAGTGAAGGGACACTCCCCTATGACTGGGAGGATGCCATAGTAACACCTATCCACAAGGCAGGTTCTAGGCAACTCCCATCAAATTGCAGACCGATAAGTTTGACTAGCACTGTGGTGAAAATCCTAGAAAGAGTAATCAAGAAAGCCATCACAGTCCACCTAGAGAGCAACACTCTATTGTCTCGTTCACAGCACGGTTTTCGTAGAAATTTTGATTGCTTGACGAACCTTTTTAGTCAGAGAAAGTTGGGTTAAATCTAAGGATGATAGGATATCTGTAGATGCCGTTTTCATTGACTTTAGTAAAGAGTTCGACAAAGTACCTCATTCCAGGTTGCTCGGGAAACTGGAAATTTTTGGAAGTAGTGGTGTCTGCATCATCAATTGATTCGTTCAAAAGGGGGTTGGACAAGCATAGAAATCTACTGGAAAAGTATTAATACAGGCTCCCAGCCTCCTATCCTCAAACAACAAATCTGGATGTGATAAAAAACATATCCACAACGAAAAAACTTACTGTAAACCAAATATGACAACACTTCAGTTGGCTGAAGTGATGAAGTAAGTAGTCTTTTTCCACCCGAACAGATCCAATAGAAATAGTATCACAATCAACTGGTGTTGTATTGAACAAACTCCACAAGTAGAAAAAGTAATCCACACTAGCCCATTCATCATCGTGAAAAATTGAAGCGAAATCCAGCTCACTACCACAAATTGGAAATACTATTTTGTCCCATTTATTTTGATTCTAAATTCACATAATTTGATTTCAATAATAACAAACCTCTTCACATTTCTTCTGCAAAGAATTTACAAAAGCTTGCCCCATATGCATGAATACCATTATTTTCAGGACGCTGAAACAATCATAAGAAGATATATAAGTTCATATTAGCAAGTTAGCGTTCCAAATTTAAACGTACTCGAATGGTTACCACAAGAATGAAGAGAAGGAACCTAACCCACTTTGGCTTTTACAAATAAGGCAGCAGCATATATTTTATCAAAACTTTCAGTATGATTTATCTTAAAAGAGCTTTCATAGGAATTTGAGGCAGATTAAAGATGTCCAATATCAGTGTAGGACATTCATCACAGGTTGTTTTCTTCTCTTTAGGTAGCAACTTTTCCTGATTAAATATACGCTGGTTCATGGAATTTGTAAAAACACTAGCAACCCTTGACGCAAAATCTCAACAGAAATTAAAACAAGCTATAAAATATGATTCATCTATCTCTTCAGTAACCACAAACTGATTCCACTGAAGATTCAGAAACCTTAACGGTAATTAACGACCTTGTTTAACTTTTCTTTTAATTTTAAGATAAATAGATAGGTCGGTATGTTGGATGCATTATGTACAGGTTGGGTATAATCAGATTGAAATAATAGTTTAGGTCGGTTATATGGCTAGAACTACATCAGAACAAGGAACTACCACAACAAGCATAAAAGTAGACAGTCAGATTATAAGAATCAAATCATAAGATCAAACCCTGTCCCAAACAACGCACTTTGAAAAGTTGGAAATTAATTTTCACCTTCATACAAAAGGCCTAGCTGAACATCAAAACATGGGTCTGTACACGGTTGATGAGTGCCACACAAGGAAAGATGAAATCCGCAAAGCTTTTGTCAACTCTTTGAATATTCATTGAAGATAGATACTAATATCCATAGATGCCAGTTACAGTGATGTATGTGATCAATCATCACCTATTTTAAACTCACATTCACCTAATATCCACTGAGTGACAAGTGAATGGACCTGAATCACAAGCCATCATTTCTCGCAAGTTGAAAAACTCATGTTTAAATGGACATGAAGTATTAACACACACATAAGCCAAGATAGCCATAAGTCACCATACACGCCAGAAAAAAAACAAAAGTAGTATAAGTACATGCACCTCAGGTAGTTCACAAAATCAACAACCTGCCAAACCAAAAAAGTATCACCTTTGACGTTAGACTATGCAAGCTTTACAATCGAGATTGACGGTTTTCATACCTTTACAGAGTTACAGCGATTAGAAAACAGCTAATCGATTAAGACCTGTTTATCCGGATAACGCATAGTCCATACATGGCTTAGACAGTTAGAAAACTTCATGGATTGATGACATTTCATAGACTGTGCAAATTCAAGTATTCTGACACAAGAATACTGAGAGAACATAACGTACGATTCAAATAATTAACAATCAGTACTATTTCCAAGTACAGGCAACTTTTCAATCCTGCCACTTTCTGAAACAGTTAGGTTGCACAAAAGACGTCTGTTTATATAAGTGAACGCCACTTGCACTCTTGGAATAATGAAAAGCTATGACTCACTGGACCAGGCACTCGACTTGTAATCAACGCATCATGGATTCAAACCTCGTTCCACCTACCGACGTCTGGACAGTCGGGTAGTATCATTAACCCTCAGACAACAAGCACGGTTTATTGCTTGGTGACAAGACCTATATGTACCTGTTGATTTGCACATATTTATTCATTTCTTTACCTTAACATAACATAAAATATCACCAAAAACGCGGAAAGTGCCCAAGCAAACACCTAACGATTTGGTATTGTAGCATTAAGACAATCGACAAAGCCAATTAGTATTGGAACATGCATTTCCCTAAAGGAAAAAGAGATTATGACCATGAGATAACTCAATACAAGCAGTTGCGTAAATGTGTGCACTGAAAGCTGATAGTTTCGCATCAAAACAGAAAAATCTGCATAGTCGGACTAGTTATTAAAATCTACTACAATTAAAACAGGAAGTGTTATGGAAAGTAATTTGTTGAATCAGTCCAATTATCGTTCGCATTACTTTACATAAAAGAGCTTAGTACAAAATGGCTTAATTAGGTACTAAAGAACCTACAACAGTCTCAGACCGACCGATAGCTGCTACATTAACGTGGTGTCTGGCTTGCATATCACAATGACCCAACGAGCTATGCTGGTGGAACGCTTGTTCCCTCGAGGTCCTACCATACCAGAAAGGTCTGTTGGGTAGTGGTTAGACGAAAAGCAGTTACCGTTATAGTGTAAATTGCTACACTATGATGGGGGTCTGAGGGCGAAGTCGTACTGCTGCTAGCTGGATGGGGTGTGACAGCAGTAAGGTGTTTCCCTTGGATGACCAGCAGTGCCAAGCTGATGCTGCCTTCTCAGTGGAAGGGGGGGTTAGAAAAGGTCGGCCCCAAAAATAACACACTCCACCACGCCCCACGGTCTGCCGGGCCGGCGGTGTTGGTTCACTTGTCGTTTCCTTTCTACCATCCGGCCCCAAAAATACAAAAGTCCAAAATAATCATACTCAAAAGGCTGGGTGTGACAGGCCTCAAGCAGATGTCCGATGGGCTCTGCGGTCACACAAATCTCTTTCAGGTACCTTAAGAAGAAATAGCCTTCCACGGTGTGGGCAGCCGGGAAGTGTCAACCGCCCTCACAACTCTGTCAGCACCCAAGTTTCTTCTGACTGCTATCCTCCTCCTCCATCATTACCTTCTAATCTTCCTTCACGTCTCTTAATTAATGATGCTGCATCATCTTCAATTTCTCCTACCTCTGCAGCCTTCGACAACGATCTGAGTCCACAGAACAGCATCCCTGGTCTCCTTAAACCACGCTCCAAATTACATATTGGAGCCTTCAATGTCCGCACCCTCCGTCAAATTGGCCAACAGGCTTCGTTGGCAAAGACTCTAGCAACTCGGGCATGGATGTGTGCTGTGTTTGTGAGACACGCATACAGGACCCAAGTGTGGTTATTCACCTGACCAATCTGGTGAATCTGCAAAATTCACCCTTCGAGTTTCTGGAGATTCGATAGCTAGCTCTCGTGGTCTTGCAGGTGTAGGTATAGCATTAAGCACCAGGGCAGAAAACTCACTACTAGACTGGATCCCAGTTGATAGTCGCCTCTGCGCTATGAGGCTGAACGGCACAGTGAGAACTAAAAGGAATAGTGAGACTCGCCGTTGTCTCTTTGTAATCTCTGCTTACGCACCCACTGACTATAGTTCGGATGAAGTGAAGGACGAGTTCTACCATAAACTGTCTAACCTCCTCTCGAAAGCCAAACGTTCGGACGTAGTGGTTGTTGCAGGTGACCTCAACGCACAGGTGGGTAGACTGAGTGAGGCAGAAAGGCACTTAGGTGGCACTTTCGGAATCCCAGCTGAACGTACAGATAACGGTGATCGCCTATTACAACTATGCTCAGATAACCGCCTATTTTTAGCCAGCACAAATTTCAGACATAAAGAAAGGCACTGTCTGACCTGGCGTCCACCGAGCTCGACTCAGCGATGGACACAGATAGACCACATTGCTATTAGTCATCGCTGGAGAGGATCGGTGGAAGACTGCCGCTCCTTCTGGAGTACGTGTTTGGACAGCGATCATGCGTTGGTCCGAGCACGTATATGCCTGCGTCTCAATGGACGTAGAAAAAATTTGGCAACAAAACCACTACGAGTTCTGCTGGACAACGAAAACACCAAAGCCGTGTTCAGTGAGAAGTTGGCTAGGCAGTTATCGGAACAAAAGACTGTCACTCATCCAGAAGAAGCTTGGTGCCATCTTCAGTCTACTGTAAAAGCAGCACTGGAGACTGTAGCCGACTCCGAAAGATGGCTAAAAAGAGCCAGTGGATATCAGCAGCTTCTTCCAAACTAATGGATGCACGTGAATGCATCCCTGCAGGCTCTGAGTACAATGAAGAGCGAGCGCAACTTAAAAATAGACTGACGAAAAGTCTGCGCAACGATCGTGAACAGTGGTGGGCAGCGAAGGCTAAAGAGATGGAAAAGGCAGCGGCGATCGGTAACAGTAGACAGTTATTTAGACTTATTAAGGAGACTGGGGGGAAATGTCAACAACAGTTAGTGAGGTTATAGCGGAGAAGGACGGATCTGCGATTCACTCGCAGGAGAGGCGACTGGGACGATGGGCAGAACACTTCGAGGGACAGTTTAACTGCCCTCCAGCCACTATTGCGTTGCTCGCTATCCAGTAGGATGCTAAATGTAACATTGAGATGGGCCCCCCAACACTGAAGAAGTCGAGAAAGCAGTAGGTAATCTGAAACGAAGAAGGGCGGCAGGACCAGACAGACTAACTCCAGAGGAATAAAAGGATGGTGGTAAGGTGATTTTAGTCAAGTTAACGGAAATGCTGACCAGTATATGGGAATTAAATACAATCCCCTCTCTCTGGGCTAAATCACTGATTATCCCAGTCTTCAAGAAAGGCGAGAAGTCCTCCTATGGTAACCACAGAGGAATCAGCCTGACGAACATAGTGTCCAAAATCCTAGGTTCTATAATTCTTCAACGTCTGACTGGAGCTCGGGAACAACAAGCTCGAGAAAAAAAAGCAGGCTTTAGACCTGGCCGCGGGTGTATCGACCAAATCTTCACACTCCACCAGGTTTTGGAACACAAACACGCTTACAGGCGCCTGACACTGGCTGTATTTCTCGACCTGAAGGTGGCGTTCGACTCCGTTGATCGAGAAGTCGTATGGCAATATCTCTCACTGAAAGGCGTGCCGAGTAAGTACATCACTTTATTGAAGGCTCTCTACTCGAGCATATGGTGAGATGTCAGATGAGCTGAATTCATCAAGTGGCGTCCGCCAAGGGTGCCCACTGTCTCCATTCTTATTCAATTTTATCATAGCTATTCAAATGGAGGTATCCCTCTCATCACCAGGTTACACAGTAGTTAACGCAACCAGAGGAGAATTTTCATTTGACCTAGAATACGCAGATGACATAGTCCTGTTAGGTGAAGACTCTGACAAGATACAGAGTCTTCTGAACACTGAGTGGGAATTTGAGAATGT